TCTATAGGAACACGGGTATTTTCAAAACCGTGACTTTTTCTACGCGGTTTGGCCGTTCGTACACACGGAAATGCATCAGGTCACTGAAACCGAACATACACTCCTGCCAGGGTGAAGATTTTATGAAACTCAAGTTTGCAGTGTTGTCGTGTAGACAGTGAAACCGGAGTTCTTGCCTTGCAATGTCAGAGTGCGGGCCATTATCTGCTGGTTTGATGTCAGATTGTGCCCCACTGTCTGCTTTGTTTACCATTTTAATAGGCTCTGATTGGCCAACGTAGCTTTACGCTTAGTGTCACATCACATGGTGGTTCGGCATGCTCTTGACAGCGCTTGATAGCGTATTTTTGTGTTTTCATATAGACAAAGATTTTTTTTTAAAGCAAAGGAGGAAAAACTCCGTTTATGAAAATTCCAGTGTACGTGTGAACTAAGCCTGAGGCAAAAAGTTAAACATCCATGATTCATATCAAACCAGGAAATATCTAGCTCGTCAAGCTTGACTTACTCTCGTTCTTAACTGTAAAAATTTCTGATAACACTACATGTCAAAAGAAACTATTCACCTGATATTTATTAGGAACTTGATCAGTGGACGATAACAGCAGTCCAAAACTAAAGAAAACTAAGTGGACCTGCTTGCGGCTCTATCTGTATTTAGCTAAATGCTAACGCAAACATGCGCACAGTGATGATCCAAACCTGCGGATGTTCAGCACATGATAATTATCATCTTTACTATCTGAGTTTAGCGTGATAGCATGCCAACATTTGCTAGTTTGCACTAAACACAAAGTAAAACTGAGGCTGTTGGGAATGTTATTGGTGTTTAAGGTATTTGATTACAAAGCAAAGTATTGGAAACATTTATGAGCTGATGATGGCACTAGATGAAAGGTTAAGATGCCAAAGTTATTACAATTCATCTGAAGGAAGACATAAAAGTAACGACCAAATTTCATGGCATGGAGTTCATGTTAAGGGGAACATGTGTAGATTATTAATAATATTGAATTATTTTGATCATGTTGGTTCCTTAATGTGTTTTGTTCATGAGAATATCAGCACTTCCAGTGAACTACTTATGAAGAAACTAACAGTTTAGAAAACACAGCCTGAGTAGAGCAGCACTTACTGTCACACAGAACATGAAGTAGTTATTGTTTACTGTCAATATTTCACACAGCTATAAGAAACACCATCCGAACGGCGAGTTGATAATAGTTACATCACTGACAATGAAAACAATTTTCCCTTCTGTGGAAAAACCCTGACAACCCAGCATGATGGCCTGCTCTTCCCAGGAATCCAGCTCACACACAATCTGAACACTGTCTGATGATGTGCGCACATGTGTTTGGGTGTGTGTGCATGGGAGAAGATTTGTTGTCTTGATATGCTGTTAATGTTTACACACCCATTTTCAGAGGAAATGGACTACACAGTTGACCAATTTCCATATCAGCATTTTAATGACTTAACATCTGTTGTTAGAGAAACAAGTGTGTTTCTAATCTCTTTCTCTCAATCCATCTATTAGGACTGTTTCTGACTGAAACTCTTATTCCACTCAACGTCATAGGATTTTGTTTTGGACTAATCGATAAGTTAAATTACAGTAATTTCAGAAAATAAGCAAATTTGCAAAAAGATCAAAGCACATTTGGAATATTATTGTGATGTAGACACATGATAAGTAGGATTGGGTATGCTTACATGCTGATGCCAACACAATATCAGAGTTTTGGTTCAGATATGGCTTGATAACCAGAATGTTTTCTGTTTTGCCAAACCCAGTCAACGGTAACTGGCAAATTTTTTGCCCTGCCAATTTCATTTTCATTTTATTATCTGTATTTAAAAGGTGTATAAAATGTACATATAAGTCTTATTCTTATTTTTCTATTTGTATTGTATCTTGTGTTTTGGTATTCTATTTTCATTTAATGTGTATTTTATTTTATCTTATTAGAAAATAACTTGATATTTCTCATGTTAATCAAAGACATGCAGAATTTTATATGCTATAATAAATATTTATGTATATTAACTATATGTATTATATGACTTTAATAACAGTAATAACTTCCGCAGAGCTCTAAGGAGCTTTTTTAGCCTCTTTCAGTCCATTTTTCCCCCCGTGTTAGGTCCACAACATTATTGTTTTGGTTCAGTTTCAATGTAACTTTATTTTCAGACGTCAAATCTCTGAAAACCCGCTCTACACCACCTGGTCAGCGCCAAACAGTTGAGAGGCACAGTTAGTGACCAGCTGGTGAACATAGTGGCATTTAGCAGCTAAAGGACCAGACAGGTATTTTCCTCAAGGGTAGGCAGAGACCAAAAACAGAGCTAAAAGCGAGTGAAGATTAAACATACATACTGTATATCGTGTGGACAGAAACTTGACTCTAAATTAATTCTAATGATGCTCTGTGTCTGCTCAATGATGATGCCAATAAGTACACTAACAATATGCCGCTGTTCACTAACATTTTTCCCATATCAATTTATGTAGTTTTTGTCAGGAAAGAGTGAGAAGTGCACTCACAATTTTCAAAAAGCCCAAGTTTTTGTCTTCAAATTGCTTCAAAAAAATCAGCAAATATTACACATTTGAAATGTTGTAACCAGTGAAATATTTTACTTGTATTGCTGTTTCATACCCGACCACGATGAGCAATCATTTTTATGAATTGAGTAAAAGCTTAAAATGACCACAAACAATGTCTAGTTTCTTCATCATCTAGGATTAGAATGAATAGTCAAATAATTTACAATAGTGGGGGAGCACTATCTGTCTATAAATCTGTGTACCTATCTATCTATCTATCTATCTATCTAGAAAAACCCTGAACAACTCAGGAACAAATGCAGTGGGAGGCAGACAAGAATGGAAAGTTTGAGCATTTTCTCTTCTTCCCACTGACTATCATTAACACATTTCCCTCTCTCCTACACACATGCACACACACGTCAACATAAAGGGGATTCAGACTCCATTGCGATGCACTGGAAGGTGGCAATATAGGGAATCTGCTTCTATAATTAGAGGAGCGTTCAGGAGCCATACTGCTGAGTTGTTGAATGTTTAATGTCAGGCCTGCAGGCGTTACAGTCGCAAAGAGCAAACCTCTGAGCTCCTTTACATCAACTCCACACACACACACACACACACACACACACACACACACACACACACACACACATAACAACCCCCTTTCTTACACACACATGCCAACTTAGGCCTGTACAGAGACTGGTGAGGTGAGCAGCAGTAACAGTTGTAAACTGGATGAGTGGGTCAGGTTTCAGAGAGGAAACGGCAGCACAATTCACGGACACAGACACAGTACATCTGACAACTAAGAGAGTCATTCCCAGCTATTGTAAAAGCTGATCGCACATAATGATACGGGATATGAGGTAATGGCCAAATATATCTGAGAGCACAAAACATCAGTTCTAAAGCGTGCTGTTTATAATGTAATCTGGTTGGGGTCACTTTCCAACAAAACAACTTATAATGCATGTTCTGCTATAATCATATAAAGGATTTCACTTCTAAAATACCATAGTACATTTTAGAAAGGATGAAGTTCATCAATTAATACCCTTATAATTTTAAAGCCTGTGTAATGCTACCATTATTTTGTGCTATAACTGATGTGTGAATAATATCATCATGTTATGCAGAGATAGGATACTACATTCCCTGTCAAGCAGATTTGTAACTGTTTTGACAATTACTATCATTTGGTTTCTTCCTGTCAATGCTATATGCGTTTTTTTGGCAGAATCTGTCCATTAACAAGGAAACAAATAAAGAAATCCAGGGTTCAAGGTTAGTTTAGTACCGTTCTTAAACCAGACCTGCTAAAACCAGCATTTGCACCCAACTCAGCCTACATTTTTATCGACGCAATGTTGACATCAGGGTTATATCCGCAGCATTTCTGACCTTGTTAAACAGATCAGCCAGGTGTGACTGATCCATCTCAGTCACTTTCATTATAAAACTAAAACACAACAACAATTAGTTCCTGTTCTGACATGTCAAACAAGGTGTAGTCTTTGGCAATATATGTTAATTCCAACATGCCAGGTATAGATTTTGTGTATTGCTTTTATATGATTACAGTTTGAATGACTTACAACCTCAGTTTATTAGACTAATGTTGGCTTAATCTTAATTAACCTGTTCAGTTTGCTTTTTGATTGAGAGTGTAAAAATTTGTGTTTTTACCCCAGAAGATTAAAAATATTACACATTTTAAGTATTTTAAATCCCAAATATTTACATAAAAACCTTCATGTTGTAAGTTATCTCATTAAGGCTACCAAACATTACGATGCTGGAACACCTTTTCCACCCTGACTAGTGAGATCATTACATCTGACACACAAAATCAGTGTTTGTGGGGCTCAGAGTCTTTTTAACACCTCACCTTACAGTGTCCTTTAATCATAACATCTCTCCTGTTCTAAGCTCTACTGCCTTGTTTTTCCAGCTCTCTTTTTTTACATTCTCAATTATAATGATGAAGTTTTTTCTTTCCTCAGAAAAATACAGCCTAAACAGTGACCAGGGAGTGGCGGGGCAGAGAGGAATGTTTTAAAGGGAAAGCCAGGGAAGGGATTTTAACTCTCCAGACATCCAGGATGACTTGGACAATGACTGTACTGAAACTGAGGACATTTTGTTTTTATAGTTTAGCATTATTACACTGATTTGTATCCTCCCTGCTGTTTGTTTTATGAGTATTTCTCCTCTCTGTAATGATAATGTGGGTGGTTTAGGTGAGAGTTGACCCTCCTGATAATATGACAGTCATGCTTGAGAATAATCAGTAATTTTGAGATTTATGGTGGCACACCCCCTTTAATTAAGGTGGCTCTTTTTTTTCTTTTTATCTAGATAGTCTGAAGCAGAAATTAAATTAAATCCATGTCATCTCAGACGAACAGCTCATACAGCAGGTTCACTGCCGGTCACTTACCCTGCTGAGGACCGGATTTCTTCGACAGGAGATGCGACGGCCACTTCGGCTCCAATCCTGGCTCCCGTCTTTGTGTTGCCTTGCTTCTTATCGATAAGCTGTAGGTAGTCGGTGCTCTGTTACCGTGCCCGACTGTCTCTGGGCTTTTCGCGTGTGACGGCGGCCTCTAGTCTTCCTTCGTCCCGGGAGCGCACCACTGAAACTCTGTGTAATCTCCGCAGATCGCTCTCTCTCCCCCTCTCTCTCTCTAGCTCTCTCTCTCTCTGCCGCTCCACCGCCGCCGCCGCCGCCCTCTGACGTCATGGAGGAAAGCCCCGGTCGGTGACGTTACGCCGTCAACAAAACGGAAACCCCACCCAGCGGCGTCACCTCCAGTCAGGAACTTCAGCGTAGCTACTTTGTTGGAAAGAGGAGTCAAAAGGAAACTGCCAGGAAAGTGTTTATAAACAAACAAAACCAAAACAGGGTGTGGAGTTCCACGGTAGGTCTGCTGGACTTTATACAGTTTCGTTTTAATAAATACAGACAATAATTAGTCTTTTATGGTAATCTGTAGATCAGCCTTTAGAAGTCTTGTCTGATATAATCAACCTTTTTCCTGCAAGGCTACAACTTGTTCAGACATGACCTGGCTACCCAAGTAAACCTCTCTTTCCTTGGAATTCAACTACACATAGGCTTATCCTTATACCCAAGCCCTGTAGGCTAGCTAGACATACAATTACATATAAATTAACACTCATCACACTCTTGCCAAACGACTTATAACAATGCGGACTAAACTTATCACCTCAAAACTTGAACACCTTTTGTTTAGTTTGGCCACAAAGATCTTTAAATAGGTAAAAATCTGAGGGAGATCAAAGAGAGGGAGATAGGAAAAGAAGAAAAGGGACCAAACTTGGAGAAACTGAATGTCACTGCCAAGAAATGATATTTGGACTTACTAATAACCGTAAACATAGATCCATATGACTTGGGAGCTCAAGACTGGATTACAGACACACACAAACTACTCCCACTTAAATACCCACTGAGTGACACTTTAAATGAGTTTAAAAGTTAAAAATCACTAGGAGCATGAACAGTTTTGCAGTGGCTGATCTTCTCATTCACAAGCCGGCAAACTGCAATCAAAAGGTAAAGTAGGCCCAATTATCAAACCAAACAAAATGCCAAACTTTCCCTATCATACAGCTTTGTTTTTTTATTGAGTCATATGCAGTCGGTTTAATCAGTCACACTATTAATATAAAAAGTTTTGCTATAATTTCGGACCTTTTAACAAAAAGCTTTTTTTCCCCCCCTTTTTTTCCCCCCCTTTCTTTTTGGGAAGATATAGTGGTTTGTTAAGTTAAGCAGAAATGAATGGAGACATGATTTTACAGGTTAGTCCTAGTTTGTGAATAAAAAGAAGCAGGATCCTTCATATATCAGGGCGTAAACAAAGGCTACCCATAATTCAACATGGTGTGACATCAACTTCACATTCCTGATTCGCAGTATAGCAGAGTTTTTAATATCTGGTGTCTGTGGAGACATTCCCACACTAGCATACTGATAATGATGCATTTTATTCCAACCAGCACTGACTGGATTGCCAGAGCTAAAGGAGGGCGGGACTGTAGACCGCAGCAATTCAGTATGTCAGAGCGTCAGCAGCTGTTGTGTAATAACTCTCACTGTCAGAAGGGGAAGACAAAAGCTTTGCATTGCAGGTTTAAGCATAACATGTAAAATGTACAGTCTGTGAATGTGTTTTTTCTGTAATAGCGTTTCCAAAAGTTCCAAAACAACTACACAGCTCTAAAGGCCCTTGTGAATATTTCAAATAGCCCTTTTCTGTTTCAATTTCAGTATTTGAGTCTCACCTTTCATCCTATGCTTCTCATAGTTACTTCCTGTACAAGTACTAGTTTTTAAGAGTAACTTTTTAGGTTACGTTTTAGAAGTAGGGCTGTCGCGATAACCGCAAAAGTCAAACAGGCTACCGCGCTATTGGCCAAGCCAAATTAGCGCTTCAAAAATCCACAAGCTGAACGAGCTCTGTAAAGGTTCAAGGACAGATCGGCATGGGCTGTACGGGACCTGACTTCAAACTTGCTGTTGCTGTGTTTTGTGTTGTTTTACTGTTTGTTTTGTAGGTCAGCTAACTTCGCGCTAGCATATTGCGCGGCTAATGTGACTAGCAGGCTTGGTGATGTTGGGCTAATGTTCTGATTGCAGCTGTTTTTCATGTTGCTTTCTGTGGAAATTTAGTTATTAACGTTACTACAGAACAGTGGGGGTTTTTTAAGTTGAATGGAAGCCCATTCAAAATTAACTCAATCTTCTTCATTCTGAAGGAAGTGAATTTCAGTTCACTACAGTAAAATATTTGAAGGTTTCATGAGAAAAAAAAAATACTACTTTCCAGATTAAGATTTTAAATTAAAAAAAATAAAAAATAGTAGTGTGTAATGAGCTATAATTTAAAATAAAGAAAATAGATTTGAGTATTAGATTTTATCGTCTCGTGACCCCACAGGGTTATCTTGTGACCCTTTGAAGGGGCCCGACCCCTAGGTTGGGAACCACTGGACTAAACTAGCTAACTGTAAAGTAGTTTCCCCTCGAGCAGCTACAACAATAAAATGCTACCTATGCACTGGTGCATCAGTATTAATAATATAGTTTTATTATAATAGGTCACATTTTCTGCAAAATAAATACTTTTAAGTAAATGTAGATAATTATACACTGCAGATTTTAGGAAAAGAAGAAACAGACCAGAAAAATCAAAAATCTCACTTCTCTTGGCCCCTTTTTAATTTAGGAAGAAAAACCTTTTCATTAAGTTTACAAATAAGTTCTTTAATTAATCCAAATGTTTAGCCACATTTAACTACTGAACTTAATACTTATAATAATAAATGAACAAATTTAAGACTTCTAGCTATAAAAAGTCTGATCTGATCTAACAGTTGGGTACATGGACAATTGCGGATGTAATTACAAAACATAATTACTTTTTGACCTCAGATTTCTTGACAAAATGCAACACGTCTTCATCTCCGCGTTAATTTCCCCTCTGCTTCAGCGTCCCTTTTTATTTCCACACTAATGTATTTTTATATTGTCCTTAACGCCTTTTTAGGTCTTCCATACAGAGCTGGATTAACCCATTTGGGGACCCTTAGAGGCAAACGTTTGCTGCCAGACCCCTTCTTCCTGAAAGTTTCCAGTCAGTACATTGCACATGCTATATTGTAGATGGATACTTCATTATATTTTACACAAAGACCCAGAAGCCAACTAATACACCTAAAATAAGATTATCTTTTTTTGAGTTTGAGTTTATTTGATGAAACAGTTTTTTTTTTTTAGGGAAACACACCATCTATTTTACGGCAGGAGGCGTAAATCATTTGTACCTGCATAACATTAAAGTCTCTAATAGTTATATACAACTACTATTTAAACTTGTGGATTGCACAATGGGAGAGTCATTGAAAGAAAAACACAAAATGCGATTGTAGTAAAGCAGGAGATTTATTAGAGGGAGAGGAATATGCCTTCTTCTGTCTGCATGACACTTTCGGTGTGTTATTTTATCACACGTATGCTATCACATATCCAGCAGGACCAAAACTAGTAGACTACTGGAAATAGAAGTGAGCCCCACACCAATGCAAAGTTAACCATAACTTATAAAGTTTAAAGATCCCACCCCACCACCTCCGTCTGTCCACCCACCCACCCGACATCTTTTGCCAATCCAATCCTTCGCCTTGGTGGGAATGTAGCAGCTCAGGATTCAACCAGCTGCAAGACAAGGGAGAGAGAGGGGAAGAAAAGTTTTGGGTGAATTACAGAGAAACTGCAACAAGCCACGACTATTACCGTTTTTTCTGGACATTTAAATGCTGGAACTGTCAAGAGAAATGGACAAAAACACTTGTCCTGTCTGTCTCGGAGTGCAATTAGGCTGCCATCGTTCAGTTTAAAGTGCACATTCAAAAGCACATCACATTCATTTGGGGGTGAACAAAACAGACAGCAAGGTTTTCTGTCTTTCAATTCTAAATCTATACATCCCCAGCTTTCAGAAAGTGATGAATAAAAAAAAAAAAAACCAATGCATCATTGAGCACAGGATGGAATATTAAGGTAAGTTTAGCATGAAATTGTCGTCGGTGGCTGAATAAAAGACTGAAATCTGCCTACTGGGACTGCTGAACATCTGCTTTTGTTTTTCCATCACAACAACCCCGAGAGAATAGAAACACATCAGTATTCAAGGGAAAGTACGGGTAACACAGTCTGCATGCATGATGTTTCCACTGAACAGAAACACCAGGTGACTACAGAACAGGGAGGAAACTAACAGGTCAAGGAGGAACAGAGGATTCAAGGACAAGCCCGATGTCACAGGAGTTTGTAATTTCCCAAAAAAATCTGTTGAAACTTTAAGAAAATGTAATTATCAACCAGGAATATTTCTATGCAACAAACCATATTAAGCAAGTATAATTAGTATAAGCTTAATGGAACAAACAGAAGGTCGTAAGGACACGTTTGGGATTCAAAACATTTCCGGGAAGGACTTTTTTCCTGAAGGTTTGAGTGACGAACTTCCTTCCTCTTTGATCCAGTTCACTTCACAGAAACTGTGATGTCAGTGCTTCTAAGAAACCCAGCAAGTGAGCACACAACATACTGACTTCATCTTTAACTTCCAATGTCAGCGATAAATAATGTAATTCAGTCTGGAAGTGTTTTTATCCAACTGGCCTCTGGACCCTGATGTGAAAATGAACACATTTCCCAAATTTAAAACTAGCAAACTTAACATTAATTAGGTACAGGGGCTCTAATAAAGTGTGTGTACTTCAACAAATGCTCTACACATTTAAATACAAAATGAACCTGCATTCACTTTTTTGTAACAAGCCATTTTACAAATTCATATATGATCAGGAAGACTAAGATGAGCAGCATTGACTCTTTCTAAAGCAACTTTGCTCTGTTCTTATATTACATGATTTTGGTTTAAAATACGATACAAATCAGTACGGTATTTTTTCAGATCATGTCACTTGCAATAACAACATTACTGACATACTGCATCATCTTTTGAGTTGATACAGTGAACTTGTTAGCACAAAAGCTGTTTTTACACAATCAGCAGTTACAGTGCAACATTATCCTCCATTTGGAGTCTTATTCTCTCCACCTGATGAATGTAAGTACAGTAGTCACTCTCTTATAGCTCCTTCAGGAAATATCTGGCTAAATGCTTGACTGAGTTTACTAACTAGTCATTAACTATATCTGTTTGCTGTTTTGTACTGAGCAGGTAAAAATCTTGGCTGAAAATGACACTAAAAGCAGCAAGAAAATGAACCAAAACAATTATCAGACCAGACAACTTAATGAGCTGAAACTATAAAGCTCGAGGGGAGCTGCAGGTTCAGGTGATATTTCTCTGTAGCTTTATCAATTCACATTGTCATTTGATAGATTTGTAGCCACTTTAAAGTGTAGTCTTCATCTTCTCCCATTACATTTTTACTTTGGTCTCGGTCAGTCATATTCAGCAACCAAAAACTAGATCACACTATAGTCTAAAGCAGGGAATGACATGTGCCTCGTCTCAAATCCATTACCACTAACAATTTAAAAAAGCCTTATCATTACAGCACAGTGTACAAATATGTTGGTAGGATTAGATAATCAGCACTCCCACTGACGATTGAAACATCGGAGAAATTAAGTTTCTCAGAAATAGTTTGGTCTACTAAAATTCCAGAAAAGAAAGACAGGAAAGCACATGCACCCCCAGGAGGGAAATGACAACAGCATGTTGGAACTAAAACTATTGAACAGAGTTCAGACACCATTTAGGTCTACAGGAAAGATTCAGCTACTTCAGTGAAAACACTTTACAGTCTGTTTCAGCATACTGATCAAGTTATTGGCCATATCAATCAAATGGGAGTTAATTATCAACCAGTCCAGTCTCTCAAACATCCAAAGGGTCATTTGTGGAGTCCAAGAGAGTGAAGGCAGTATTTGAGCCAAGGAGGAGCAGTGTGAGGAAGAGGAGGAGGACAGCAGGCTATACTGATAGATGGGTGAAGGAAGAAAGGGAAGTATGTCCTGGGTGAAAGGGGAAGTCTCCACTGGATGCAGTAACTGATGTATCATTTGCTTCTGTGTTGAGCTAGAGGTTTACACAGACCAGGGGGTTTTCAAAGTTTCACACTGTAGGGGGCCCCCTTAGACAAAATCAACAAACAGGGCTACCCGCTTTCAAACAGGAAGTATAATGTTTTTTTTGCCTGAATTTGTTTACATTTTGGCAAAATTAGCACAATTAAAAACAGCTGAATTAGCTATTAGCAGTCTTGTTCGAATTGTACCCATGGATGCGCAGAAAACTACCACTGAACTAAACAACATAATGATTCTCTGGTAAGTTCTGGATTTCTGGACATTTATTGGCTCTGGTTATGAGGGATAACCCTCTGAAAGTCACACCGATTCTAAAAATATTTGTATCATGTCTGTGTTCAGATTACACTGAGCAGTCCCCCTCCAGGATTTCGCAATGATCCCTCTATGAACACAACTTCAACAAATCCCTGTGAATTCAGCGCGACTTGCAAGTTTCCGCAAATTTGACCATCATCGCCGTTTCCCACAAAATGTTTTCACGTGTTTACACGTTGCAGCAGACATGTGATACCACCGTCTCACATCACACACAAAAAATAAATAAATAAATAAATAAAAAAGGACAGCGAAAAAACGTATCCAGATCTTCTTTAACAAAGCCGGGGTAAATTGTTTAGCAAAATGTGTAGTTTTTTGGTTGAACATAAAAGGAAATCGTCTATTGACACACAGAGTGTCAGAAAGGCATGGCGGTCATCAGGCAAGACACATCACTGTCACACAGGCCGTTGCATTAAAAAAAAAAAAATTACATCTACCTTTACAGTTATTATTTCCACAATTATATCGAGAGAGAAAAAAAAAAAACGAACAAAAAAAAAAAACGCCCCAAAACATCGGTACTTTCATTTTTTTTAAGCTGTCGCAAAATCTGGCATTTTAGGCCGCAACAATCACAAAAAAGGCCTGCAAAATCCTGAAGGGACTGACTGAGGCTACATCCACACTACTAAGTTTTGTTTTAAAATGCAGACCTTTTGCTACGTTTACACCTGCTGTCCAGACTAAAACCGAATCCGACACTGGTGACCAGTTTGAAAACGCTGCTGACCCCATTTTCGTTTTAAAACTCGTAGCGTTTTAGTGCAGACAGGTGAAAACAGAGGACTTTAAAAATGCTGACGCAGAAGCTCAAGTTTGGCTTCCTAATTGAGACTTATTAGTCAAGCACAGTCAACAGTGTTTTTATTTTGGTATTTTTATTAAAATATTTTGTAATGTGCATGTGCAAAAAAAATAAAATCTCTGGTGTGGTTATTCGCCATTGCTATTCTTTGTTCATTTGCTGCAGAGTAGAGCAGACAGTCCGCTTCCTGTTTACAGCGTACGTAAACGGCCACTAGATGTGCATTTTAATATAAACGGAGATCAACTCTGATACGCGAAAACGCTAGTGTGGACGGAGATCGTTTTCATTTTAAAACTACTTAAACATAGTAGTGTGGATATAGCCTGAGTAACAGCTAAAATACAGCTGAAAGGAAAAACAGAGATCAACTGTATGTGCACGAGAATCAGACACTGAGAAAGAGAAAAGGCCAAAGTCATCTATTAAACAAGAGCAAACCTGTCCAGCGGAGGCAAGCAGTAGACAACAAATATCAAAAAACGTGCATGGCATTCTGCTCTGCTAAATGTCAAAACCTTAAATCTAATTTCTATAGGAGGTGAAAGACAGAAGCAGCAGCATAGTGCTAAGCGCCAAGTCTGTTTTGTGGTTTTTGATCCTGTGGTTATTGGTTCTACATTGGCTTGTTCTCTTTCAGACTTGATTTTATAACGACTAATGGCTAAACAACAATACAACTTTAAATCCTCTCTTTCTACAACTGGTGAAACATTGTGAATTTCTTGAACTGTTGATACCATTTTAGTCCCCATCTTCCATATTTACACCTCGCAAAGTTACATTTTGTTGCCACTGTGACACTCGACCAACTCTTGTAAAATCTTCACCCTTGAGGGATAAAAAAAAACCCTTGGGAGGGGATACGGAAAGGAGGAAAAAGGTTTTTAAATGAAGAACACTTGGTCTTTACAGGCAGTGGCACGGGCGGGGGTTTCCGTGGCAGCGGAGAAGGCAGCTACGATGGAGGCGAAGACGACGTTCGGGTCCTTTGCAGCATCAATGGCTGTGTGCAGGCCCCTTGCACTGTAGTACTTCACCAGAGGGACGGTCTGCCGGTGGTAGGCGTCCAGACGGGAGCGCAGCGTCGTCTCGTTGTCGTCGCTGCGGCGGATAAGCGGCTCACCTGTCACCTTAGTGCAGACAAGAGGGAGAAAAACACATAAGAACAAAGAGAAAGATGGACTGAGATGGTAAAACCTGTACAACAACGCATGCAGTTTCCACTTTTGTCTACAATTAGGTCAACTTAATCAAGTGTCACTGCAACCCTCTCACTTGTTACTTGTTTCTGTATCGAAATCCATCTTTGTGCAAGTCAGTCTTCTTTCTAAGCCAGGAGTTTGTGTGTTGCTTTATTTGCAGACAGTTCGACACAGAGTAACGCACATTAAGGAGGGATGCACTGATCCAATCTGTCGGATCTGTATCAACACCAAACCCTGCCTTATAAATCAGATTAATAGGGGCCAGATGCAACTGATCCACTCGTCCGTGTTATTATAAGATTTTAGTGTTTTCAGTTACATTCAATCAGTCATGGCGGCGCCGCAGCAACACCTGGCCTCTTGTTCCAATCGGTTTTAAATTTGTGAGAAAGAGGGCACTGGTATCACATCTGTACTCTGCATAAGCCGATTCCCTGAGATCAAGTGTCTGAGTTGAAACCAGGATAAAAAATAATTGTTAAAATCGGCCCCATCCTTAGCATAAAGGGCCCCATTTTCTTAGTGGTGCAACAACCCACGCAAGCAGCACCAGATAAGTTTGGTATTTTCTTGACCCTAAAATTGGTTATTTAACTAAATAAATAAGCTGTTCATGTTTTATTTTTGCATTATAAAGCAAATGCTTTTCGATTCGATGCAACCATTTGCCACTAGAAAAATAGAATGATGACTGACAATAAATGTGATAAAAAACCACACCGTCTGACTGGCTGCACATGTACCATGCTGTGTTCACATTGAGCCGCTCTAAACCATCCAAACAACAATATGATTTCCTGGACAGGCAATTTGTTGAGCCGTTGTCCTCATGCGACACGTTTTAGAGCGTTCAGACCAGTTATGTGACTGGCTGAGAGGGAACCTATGAAACACCACACCCGCCGATCTACATTCCACTTCACCCAGCCCTTTTACACTTTGTGTTGCTGCAAAAAATTAATCAAAATAGCAGGTGCGCTTTGAGATGCCCACACAGTCCGTGCAAGACCTACCACTTAGAGCTTGTTGTTGTGCTGGCGAAATTAATAAAAGGGCCTTAAGTCTCTTGGCTCCACCCTCCCTCAAAATAAAAGTAGGACACATCAGAGGTACAAACTCTGTGGAGAAGCAATATGCAGGGGCCTAAAACTGAGAACAGAACCAGCAAAGCTTTATTTTGCTTCATCCAGTGCTGACTACCAGCTCGACAGGCTACCACATCCTTTACTTTTGAAACCCAGAAGGTTTTCTATTTTTCCTAATTACTATGACATGCTGCTTAAACTACCACATGTAGAGACTCATCTCGCTATACATTCAGGTGGTATAGGAACATCTGAACAATGTCCTCACTCATTTACATATGACTGTTGCGGTGTTTCATTCATTAACAGTGTAATAATTTCTCCTGGCATTAGCATGGGCAATCTTTAAAACCCTGCAGGAAATGCTGATCTGTCATCATCTTATAAAAGCTTTTAGTTCCATCAACAAATCAATCACTCTCTTACTTCAAAGCCAAATTCTCTCTCCCCACTGGGTGCCACCAGCAAGCAGAAGTCTTCTCTAATGGAGAAACTACACTGGATGTCCATATTTTTTTGATGGCTTATAACCACAAACATCTCCATGTTTTTAAGATCAGATGTCCCAAACATTTCAGAATGTGTCAAAGCACTTTGTCTGAAGCTGGCTGATCATCACCGATTTCAAACTTGGCAGTGATTTTAGGTGGGTGGCAGTTTAGCAAAAAGCGGTTTCTAAGTGGGTTGTGAAACAACTTACGTCATCCTTCATAGGCTCTTTGGGGGGGTTGAACTCCTCGTGGTATGAGCGGCCACTTGGCTGATGAATTAGTCTGGGGAAATGGAGGGGAGACGGTGAGGACGGAAAAGAAATCAGGGTGACAGCAGAGGAGGACAGATGAGGATTAGACAGCCACAGTGACTCACTAACTACTTAACTGTCCTTTTCACATCCCACACGCTGCCCTTGTCCTACTTGGGCTAGAAAAGGCAGCAGCCAGCCTCCTCCTCCTCCTCACAAAAGGACCCCCGTGGACAGAAAGATGGCTCTTGCAAACTAACTGTCTTCTATTCAGTGTGGCATACAGATTATGTATGAGTGGTTGTTGTGAAGAAAGAGGGCAAATATTGTGTTGCAATAACAAACTCCAATAAAAGAATTTACAACACACCCTTTCTAAAGCATTGACCCGTTTTCAGATGAAGGTCTCTGAAAACACGTCTGCCTGTTCAATGTTTGGGTCAGCTTCAAAGCAGTGCATAGCATGTTACATTAAACAGTTTCAAAACAGTTATAAAGGAGACTTGTTGGAGACTTGTTGGAGACTTGTTGGAGGGAGAACAGCCAGAGAGATGGAAATGTACCAGGAAACAATAAGACCGTGCCAATTAAGTTTTTATAAGGTTTATAACTTTCTCTTTGGTTCTCTATTTGGCCTCCATATGTCAGTTTGCTTTTACATAAGTCAAACCATCAGGCCAGAAAGCAGCCCAGCGAAGTCCTAGTTATAATGTAAATTATTATTATTACAACTTAATAATAATACCACAATTAATACTACAGTTACATGAGATACGGATGCACCTTACTAACCAAGCTGGCATCACCGTCTCGTCCAAATATGGTAATAAAGCACCATGTGGTTTTTCTGATGTTGGTGGAGTTTTGCTGTTGGCAATGCTCCTGTGACTTTGTTGTTGAAATATTAATGACCATATTATCTTTCTTACAAAACTATGTCCTTATCAGATAACACTAAACACCTTAAATTAATTTATTGGTTTCTGTAGGTCACCTGTACTTTTCCAGCGGTGGAAGAAGTTTCATACTTAAGTAAAAGTACAGATACCACATGAAAAATGTTACTCAAGTCATCCAGTATAAACCTACTCAAGTAAAAGTAAAAAAAGTACATGGATTTAAAAGTACTTAAGTAATCAAAAGTGAAAGTACCCAGTAGGGATGTGGATCGAGACCCAGTTCCAAAATTTCTCAAAATCCGAAAATCAATAAGGTTTGAACTTATCGATACTGCTACGGAGACTTGCGGGTCCTATGATGTAACGTTGTGTCTCGAGCGTCAAATCTGATTTAATGTGAAATGCAATGGATAAGAAAATCATCAGGCTGCAGTATCTGCCCGCTCTCTGTCGGCTCCCACCCACCCCCCAGAGCGAGAGGCGGCGCCATCGCGGTGGAATAAGGTGAGGGTTAAGTTTTCTCCAAACTACTGTAACGTTAGTTGATGACAGCTACGCTCTTAAGTACGTGCAATAAAACCTTCGCAAGTAAAAAGACAATACTTTATCAATACACCTGTCTGTAAGGTAACGTTAAACATACAGAAATTGTTAATTTAATCATCTCTGTCCTCAGTATCTCATCCTCTATGTTTTATACAAGCACAGCTAACGCTAGCTTGGCATTAGCGAAATGTTAATAACAAGATAAATAGAAAGCTGTCTGTCTGGAGCACAGACTGGTCTGTAGTCTTAAAAACTCAGCTGCTGGCTGAGACAAAGCAGCCGCTCCTCCTCCTACCTGGTAACGTTACCTGCAGCAAGCGAGAGAGGAGGGACTGATACAGACTGATGTTATTCTTTCTAAACTTCACTCACTACTTGTGATGTCAGATAAAGTTACTTTGCTGTTGTTTCTAGAGCAGTAACATTAATGTTTTACTGCTCTAGAAACAACATTTAGCTGTATTTAAAATATTAAATTAAAAACAAGCAGGCAGTTAATATGTACACTTCAACATATGTTTATTTATCGCAAGTGATATGTCATCTCTCCCTCTCTAATCTATATCTCAATATCTCTCTCTATCTCTCGTTATCGCACATTGAATATTTTCCTCATACCGTGCTGGCCTACCTCATGCCCGTTGGGTCTGGTCTTACCAAATAACCATCACTAAATAATAGTAAAGTATCCATAGCTGTATAGATAAAGAATCGTATCGTTAAGCAGTCTCAATAAGGGTATCAATAAAAATTAAAAATCCCCATCCCTAGTATGCAGAAACCAAAATTAACTGAAACACTTCAATTTACAATCTCACCAAAAAACCACACACATATTAACTTCAGCACCTCTCATAAAGTGCAGCTCACAGTCCCAAACAGAGCAAAGTTGGCTTCAGTTTTCAGATGTTTATATTGCAAAACTCTACCATGTGACCACTCGGTCATAAACTGGCTGCAACTCAATGCAAAAACAGAGCTGCTGCACAGTCACACCTGACACCACAAAGCTCTCACTACAATCCTCCCTCTGTAAAAAGCCTGAATAGAAACCTCTTCTAGAAAAGTCCAGTGCTGGTTTGAACAGACCTCTGCTCACTAACTTAGTCCACATGAAGTCTGATAAGACTGGGGGCCAATCTGCTGGGTCACTTGGTGGAGCAGCAACTGTTCCATTAGGGTCTGAGCTGCTTGTATCTGATGCTGGCTGTACATCTCTGGCTCTGCTCGTACTGACTGAGGCTGGATGTGGATCAGCTGTGCTTATACTGGCTGGAGTCTGTTCCTGTACTGGCGGATGATCCAGCATCTACTCTACTGACAAACTTCAGCACTGCCCCTGTAAATTATAGGTATTTTCTATGCTGCATCAGGCCCATTCAAACTGGCTCCTCCAGATTTCCTTCAATACATTTTCAAATATAAAAAACTATTTATTAAATGACTTGGCTGAATATGGTGAAGCTTATTATTTATTGGAGATGTGCACCCATATTGCCCAGTCTATAATCAACATTTTAATGCTCAACATGAATCCACTGCTTCCCATCTTGCATTAGTCCAGAGTTGTAACTAAACTTCACTGTCGTGTTTTAAAATGATGTATGATGAGTGACATCACATCCTGTCTGGACTGATCCCACAGATGTTTCTTGCTCAAATGCGTGAGTTTAATTTCATGCATGTGCATGAACGCATTTCCACGCGCAACGCGATCATCTTTCCGAGCTTCAGTTAATAACCACTGTGGCCCGTCTGCGTTTATCAAACGTAATAAATAATTGTATTTCACTTAACATTGTTCAGTCACAGTCTGGCCAGCTGGTTAGCAGGACAGACAGACAGATTCACTGCAGCTGCACGTTAGGCTAAGTGTGATCTACATCAGCCTTGTTTACCTGACTGCTGTTCCCGCACAACTGTAATTTAGTTTTTCTCTTCTCGTTCCCAGAAGGATAGTCCCTCTTCATCCTCTCATCAAGGTTTTAAACATTTGCGTTCACCTTTGACAGAAAAGTGAGGCGGGGCCATCTGGATCTGCACTGGACTGTCACCATGTATGCCGGTGTCACATCAACTGGCTGAAGTTGATTCGCACCAAGTTTTACATTTGTTTTTCAGTGCTGCTCCACAGGCTACTAATACATACATATTTATTCATTTAGCTGACACTTTTATTCAAAGGGACTTACAATTGCTATTTCGAACCCGGGTCTCTCACACCCAAGGTATGTTTTATCCACTGCGTCTTCACCACCCTAACCGATATAACGAGGTCTCATGCAGAATGTAACGGAGTAAAAAGTCGATATTTGGCTTTGAAATGTAGCTAAGTGAAAGTAAAAAGCAACTAAAAATACTCAAGTACAGATACCAAAAATACATAAGGATAGTAACAAAGTATTTGTACTTTGTTATTTACCACCACTGTACTTTTCCAAGTTTGCCAACCATGTGACTTACATAACATGACCATAAGTATCACTATAAAATCCTGTAAACTGAAGAGTTACTAATTCACGTTTTTATTTTATACATGCGTCTCTTTTCCGCTATAATTAGCATCTCAGCAAACAGTTGAAAAGTACAACCAGGCACTGAGCAGCTTTGGTATTCAGCACACTGCATCATGGACGGATGCATCGTCTTCTTTAAGGATTCAAACTGTGACCTTCCAGCCGCTGGACGCTCTTCAAACCCCCCTCAGGCCACCTTTTCTGTTGATCGCATGCTTTCATGCTCCACTTTTCTCCAGCATTATCTCACTGTCCCAGACTCTTCTGTTCACATGAATCAATCTACCTGCCCGGGTGGATTTAACACACAGACAGAATGAGGAGCTTGAGGTACAAGCACCATCCTGGGAAATCATAAACCACTGGGAAATAAAACAGATTGAATCCTTTCTCTGGTCTTGAATATTTAACTCTCTCTCATGCAGACTCCTACCTGCCACAGATCCTGCGGACCAACAGAGAGTCGGCAACAGCGAACTCGATCACAGAGTCCAGCTTCTCGTGTCTTTTATCCAACAAGTTGTCCAGCTAGAAGACACAAACATAAGACATGACATATCTTTTGTTGAGTATAAAAAGTACTTTGCTCTTTCTTTAGGTTTCTCCCACTTCTCTCCAATAAGATGAATCAGACTGAAATAAAGCTGAAAGTCTAAAAATGTATTGCTGTTGCGGAGTGAATAAATGTACATTCTCAAATAGTACAGTGCATTTATATACCTTAATAAAACTATGCCATAACATGTTATTTGGAGACACCTTCATTTCTCATTTCCCCCGTTTTAAAAAGAATATCTGATCATATTTCAGTGGAAAGCCTACTTGTTTTCTGAACTATTCCCATTTTTCTTGTTAATTTGCAGAAAACCTGATATTTTATGAAGTTTGTTTTTGCTGCTGTGACTGTGAAGTTTTTCTATCTTGCTGTTCATTCATTTGGCAGTTTATATTTTCTGGTCCCATAAAAGATTGAACAATCCTTAAATTGTACTAATAATTAAAAATAATAAAATAATTCTTATTCCAAATAGCAAAAATGTGTGACATGTCACCAGTTTGTCTTGCTAGTGGTGTAGTATGTCAATTAATTTGTGCTGTTAGTGTGAACTGTGAAAGTATTTAATCTAAATTAAATTTGACAATAACAAACTTTCAGACATTTTGGAAAATAGAATAATTTACTTTCTTGTAGAGAGTTAGATGAGAAGATGGTCGATACCAATAGGTTTAAGGATTAAGTATGGAACTAGAGCTGGGACTTAACACAAAGACTGGAAACAGCTAGACTGGTTCTGTCTAAAGTTAAAAAAAATACCTAAATAACAAGTTGACTCTCTTTACGGGATGTTACATGATAGTTATTTCTCCATTTTCTAAATTTCTATTGTGACCTACTACTTATCGATGCCCTCTTTTAATGATTTAATTCCAGTCTGTGCCGCTTTGTTTTAGATGGTAACAGCAGAAAGCAACACCATCAAATTAAATCCTCACCATTTCTGCTTGTTTGACTGTGCGGGGGAATCCGTCCAACAGGAAGCCCTTCCTGCAGGCCGACGTGTCCAGGTTCTTCTCGATGAGCTCCACGACCATCTCATCACTGACCTGCAAGTGAACGAAAAGATAATTCTCTCATCTATCCATTTACATTGTACCATGCTACATTCTGGATAGCAACAGCTCTGTACAGGAGCCACATAAAGACATTCACTAAAAAAAAAAAAAAAAAAAAAAACACAGTTCAGTTGCTTCTGATACACAGAAAATGTAATTCATTACAATAAAAGGAGTAATTAAAGTACAGCAAACAGACTTGTTTATGTTGAGACACTGAAGAAAGTAAGAGTTAAGTAACATGTGCATAAAGACACAGTTGAATGGAAAGCCTCCTCTGCACCAGCACCATCTTTGTGGCAAACTCCTTTTGGTCAGCTGGCCGCCCTAGAACAGTTACCACATAGGCTGCTTGACTTGATGGAGGAGTAAAATGGAGGCAGAACCATTTCATTTACAGCTTATAAAAGTCACAATAAACTATAATGGAAAATGTGGATAACTGAGGGTGTACACCTTGTTAGCATACCGGCAATGCTGTAAACTTAATAATTCTGTGCGTCACTAGTCGCAGGTTCTGGATGTGCAGGCAGGCTGATTAAAATATCTTAAAAATAACTTTGAAACAACTACAGACTGTGCAGAACTCAGCTGCAAGGCTTTTAACCGGAACCAAGAGGTACAATTACATCACACCTGTTTTAGCCTCTTTACATTGGCTCCCTGTGTGTTATAGGATTCATTTTAAGATCTTATTGATTACTTTGAAGGCTCTCCATGACCTGGCTCTGGATTAGATTTTGGATCTTTTAACTCCTTATGAACGTTTGCGTACTTTGAGATCTCCAGACAGGAGTCTCCTGTATCTTCCTGAGTACAGGCTGAGATCTAAAACAGTTAGTCAGTAAACTCTTTTAACACTCTCCTAAAAATGCATTTTTAATATAAAGTATATCCTGATTTTATAGGAGCAGCCTGCTTATTTTAATGTTTTAATTTTCTTGTTTTATTTCTTCTTTTCATTTTGCCTCATGTATTTTATCATTCACTGTGTTATTTTATTTAATTTGGCTCTCTGTGTCTCTATGAAGCACTTTGTAGTTTGTTTTTATAATTGTTCTAGAAATAAAGTTAAAATTTAAATATGTAGTGCAACTTAAAATGTGTAGAAGATCAATAAAAATCTAGTGTCCGTCTAAGCTCACGCTTACAAAAGAATTAAATAAAACAAAAGAACACAGAGTCATTAATAAAAAAAAAAAAAAAAAAAAGGTAAACATGTTTGCCTCCATCAGCAGACATAACTACAACTATTACTATTACTTTTTTAGAGTATAACTTTTCTTTGTATATGGATACATCTAGTATTATATCCAGATATGGATATGAAAAAGCTTGAAGGAATGAATTTTTTTCCTGGAAAAATGTTGTTTGCTGTCTCACAGTTGTTGCACTGCACTCTTGTGTTTTCATTATCGGTGGACGCTATTTTAGCCGTTACATGTCACTGAAGACAAATAAAACATGAAACACAGTCATGTGGGACTGAACATGAATGGCTGTAATGTCAACACACGGCCCCACAGAGGGCAAAAGGAGCAGAGAAAGTAAAATACACAGAAATCATGAGAAGCAGATGAGCAGAAACGTTACCAGTTTTCCAGAATCCATGGTCTCCTTGAGCCTCTTGCCGAGCTCTGAGCCCGAAGCCACCATGGCCCTCAACATGTCTCCGGTGGCCAGGTGGCAAACACAGTACTGCTCTGCTAGCCGAGGGGCCTGCAGGGAGTAGGAGAGATCATTCATGTTAAATAATACATTATTCAAGTTTTAAGCTAACGCCACAAAGTTTGGCTGCAGATTTGACTTTGTTCTACCCACTGTTCTGTCAGAGAGCCAACCGCCTGCACTTGGCTGGCAAAAGCATGAAAGAAGTTTGGGTGTTTTGGCTGAGAGACCTGAGAGTTTTCAGGCCAAGCCACCTCTCTAACATATTAAATTGTCATTTATACAACTCAACTGATGAGTCACTTAGATATTAGGAATATCTTCTCCTTTTATGAAGAAAACTATTTAGGTAAAAGCTTCGTTCCCCAGTTAATTTAGTCAATTAAGTTCATTATAGTCATATCAGGATATAATGATATTTAATAAATGTACTTGTTTGTCCGAATAGATGGAGGGACATTCAGTTTACTGTACAAGATTAAAGAAAAGCAGAAAATCTTCCCATCTGAGAAGCTGTAACCGGCAATTGTTGCATTTTTGAATAGACTTTAACTATCAAATAATCATTTCAGGGGAGATCACTTTGCTGAGAACCGAGAACTCCAACCAGATCACAACACGTGTTACAGGAGACTGAAGACACAGTAAGTAATGCCAGCACACGTGCCTGTGCCCTTCAACATGCACGTGCGTATGATGCAAGAGTACTACACAATGTGAAGATGTCACGACAAACTGAAGCAGGTCATTTTGACATGTTGCTGGTTTCTTTCTCCTACAAATTTACAACAGAAATCATTCTGAATTGTGTAACTGCATTCTCAAAAAGGGTTCTTCTGGCAATAATCATACAGTAATAAGACAAAATACGCTATTTCTCTTTTTTACAAGATGTGCCGCAATCAACAGCCTAATTCACAGAAAGAGAAAACAACGTGCCTTTAAGACTGACAAACGCTTGTACAATTATCTTTACTAAAATGCTTGGGCTCATGACTGTCTTTAGTTGATATTTTGTAGGTTTTCAGGTAAATCATTAGTTTACATATTGCATATCAATGTTGGTCAACATCTTTGTCAAACTGCAGGTGAATGCCACTGTAATTCTGAATCATGGTCACTGCAGCAGGTTTGGTCCCAGACTGACACTGTATGATGTGGCAGTAGCAGATAAGAGTTAATGAAGTCAAATCAGGATGCAATTAACAGTTATTTTCATTAGCAATTAATTTGTTAGTGTTTAAATGTAACAAATAGTGAAAATGCCCATCACAATTTCCCAGGGCCTAAGATGGCATTGTTATATTGTTAGTTTTGTCAAACCAGCAAGCCACAGCCCAAAGATGTTCAATTTACAACCACACAACATCAAAAAACAGCAATCCATCACATTTGAGAAGCAAGAACCATTTTCACTTGATAAATGATGGGAATAATTAACACATTATAAAAATCCTACTCTCTTTTGATTGGCTGATTAATCGACTTGTAATGTGGTTTCAGAAACGACACAAGTAGAAAATTCTTCAGCCCATTATCTGGCATTTTGAGTTAATCGGTATCGGCTGATGTCTGCACTCACGAGACAGATAAACAAAAAGTGTCTGCAGACACATCAGCAAGCAGCCATGTCAGTGTGGCTCCTTGTGAGTTTTGGGAAGGTGGTAAAAAAGTTTAAAAGCCTTAAATTTTGTCAGTCACCATCGTCTTGTCTTAATCCTCAATGACAATTTGATTTCATGTTTGAACAAAAGGGAAGTAAAATAATTATTTTGGGGAACAAGACACACTAAATCCCTCCCCATCCTTTTGTCTCACAGGAAGTGTGTGGCTCCTTGTGAGTTTTGGGAAGGTGGTGAAAAAGTTTAAAAGCCTTAAATTTTGTCAGTCACAATCGTCTTGTCTTAATCCTAAATAACAGCAAATCGGATATAAAATCATTGCTGGCTAGTGTTAAATATATATATTTATGCTGTAGAGAAAAATGTAGCTGAATGACGTCACTTCTCCATAAACTCCGGTCATGCTCAGAAATCTACAGCCTAACCTAAAGTATTTTTTATTTCATTAAACAATTCCATATTAAACAGCACATTACAGGCTGAGATAACATGTATATTAGATTGTACTCTGCATGGAATAATTGAAATTAAACATGACTTTTCTTTGTTTTGATATCTGCATTATACATTATTGGCCACCCTGCTCTCTCTAAATATCGGCATCGGCCATTGAAAAACCCATATCAGTTTGCCACTAGAAAATAAGTCCAAAAAACTACAAATACTGCAGAATTGCTTAAGTAGAAGTAAAAAGAGATAATGAATCAATGCCAATTCTGATAACATAGTAATCTATATAATAAATAATATTTGCTTTTTGCAGCATTTGGACAGTGAGCTTTTACATTTAAGTGTTTCATATCACAGTAAACATATTTTAGTCTTTGTAAATCCTTTTATAGACCTTTAGATGTAACGTTAGCCCTGCAGAAACATTTAATGCTGCACTACATAATGCAGGTGAAAATAAAAACAGAACAGGTTTAAAAGTTGTAACTTCATCATGACACCAAAGAAACTATGCGTGCATGTAAACATATTTCTTGACGAATGAGGTTGAACATGTTTATTAATAATACAACTTTAACCTTAACAGACTGTCCAGCTTGTCTGAGAGTTGTAGTGACAAACCAGGTAAAGACAGGTAGGTTAGCATTAGCATTAGCTACTAATGCCGACCATGCGCTGCAGTTTTTACAAGCTAACAGCTAGCTCGGTTAGCTCGACTGGGTGTCTCTCTCACCTGAGTCCCCTTTCCGGCTCCGGGCGGTCCAAGCAGGATGGCACGGATCCCCTCGTGCACATCGGCTATTGCCTCCTTTAGTTGCGTGCTGGGGGCCATGTCTGGACCGGGAGACTACCAGGGCAGAAACTTTAGTAAAGTCTGTCACTGTCGTCCTGTTGACACTTCAGTCAACTTCAGCCAGGAAAAGAAACGCCTCCGCCTCCTCTCTGCCACAGCGGTTAAACCCCGCACACTATTGGAAACTCGGCGTTTGATTGGCCGTCCGACCGTTCCGTCATAAATTGTGTGTGTTGATTGGACACAACTTGTTCGACGCCTCATTGCGTAATATCCGGAAAGTGTTCACTATTTCATTATAAATGAGTGATTTTATTGTTACTCATAGTCTTCCTGAATTTATTTTGAACAATACTTTTCGGTTTCCATGCCTATCCCAATTCATAATTAATATTATTATTCTTTAATATTTGTTTAATTGTATATAATATATTTTTCTCATTTATTTATATTGGCGTTTTGGGGGCGAAAATATATAAAGAAATTTTCAAAAATGGCCCCAAAACTTACAAATTCTTTCCAATTCTCGATGCTGGAAGTAAAAACAGTAAAAAATTAAAAACTCTAGATTTACTTACAAAGCACTACTAATCCATTTGCTGACTTTGAGATGCAATTGTAAGCTCTAATTCTAGCTAATTTTTCAGCATTAAAGCTCTTTCTTGATGTCTGAAATAGTACAAAAGTTTAAAAAAATACTCACTGAGAAAACTGCATCTGCTGATATGAAATGTATTTGGAAATTTCCCCTGCAAAACATCTTTGTAGACATTACTGACTATGGATAGTATGCATGTTATTTTGTGGTCTCCTTATAATTTCTTTGGTTTATTTGAAGATTATTATTAGTATGATGATGGTGACAGTACATATTCAGTCAGTGAAGATGAGAGGGAGAGAGGGAATTTCTGGATTTCATTTAGTTTTACATTCGTTGTTTTGTAATTTCTATAACATAAGCACTTCCTCTATGAAGCCCTCACACTAAATTAAAACAAACAAACAGATAAACACCTCATATCTGTGACTGAACTGTTAAAAGATTTGATTTCATGTTTGAACAAAAGGGAAGTAAAATAATTATTTTGGGGAACAAGACACACTAAATCCCTCCCCATCCTTTTGTCTCACAGGAAGGATTTTTAAAATAGCACTCTACAACCTTTATTTTCTTCTCTTTCCTCTTTCAGACTCACTGACAGTCACAGCTGAAAAATGCCTGAAGCTGATGTGCTGTACTCTGATGTTAAGTTCACAAGACCAAATACAAATGCCAGAGGTGAGTCTTTATTATGATACTTGATAATCTACTTGTCTGTCTGTCTGTCCAATTCAGTTGGGATTTATTGGCATTTATTTTTTATTAATTTTTATTCTATGGCAGCTTTTAATTCTGACATTTCTAAGAATGAGCTTTCTAAAAAAATGCCTCTAAGGTGTTTTCTTTTATAGTGTTTTTCTATCGCTACTATTCATACTCTTAGTAACAAAAACACAACAGATCATCAAAAGGACCTTTTTTTCACAACTATAAGTGCATCTGACATTGACCTGGTACAACAAAAACATGTAGAAAGACACGTTTTGCATCGATATATAATATGTTCATACAAAGGACATGCAGAATGTTTGTTAAGATTTTCTTCTCTATTGTTAAAATACCTTTTCCTATCACTATGCTCACTGTTCTTAACAGATCATCACTAAAACATCTGATATAGTTAATATACACGTATGTATTGTTGTTTCATTTGCCTGATATGTTCAGATTCAAAACTTCAGGATCAGCACCCTAAGGCATGAGACTTTCACTGTATGTGACATTAGTGAGATTCAAACCTCCAGTCTTACTGCAAGCAGTTGTTTTTGCTTTGGTACTATACTACTGGTATTATTGCAAGTATGTGGTAAAATTTCACAACTTTTAGTACAAAACACCAATCTCATCACACTTGTAACGCCGCCAGTCTTTCATTCAAAGCTTGCCATTGTGCATTCATTTGGATTGTAAACATCTCTCACCACACAAGCCATTGATTCAAAATATAAGTTTCTCATGAAAAGTCATGACAAAATATGGTTTAATCACCAAAACACAACATAAGGATATCTTTTCAGTTTAGTCGTTTTAACTACCAGTGAATCCAATGATAAACAATGCTAGATACAGTACATAATATGCTACAGTACTGTAAAAGACAGATCACAGTTTTCACGTTAGGCAATACACTTTCATTACTCAACATTTACAGAATTTCTATTCCATATGTAAGTCAAGTGAAGATCAAGTTGTGATCAATGAAGGCATCCTCTACAATCATTTGTTAGATTAGTTTTTATTTTTCCAGATATAATATTACAACATATGTATACTCTCTATAATCAAATGTACAGTTACAGTAAATAAAACAAATTACTGTAAAGCCAGCTTCATCATCAAAAATGTACTTGTGATGGTTCACAAAAGCGTCAAGCGCCATCACCCTCTAAAAAATATATTTCGGTTAGTTCTTTTCACAGTAGTAGTTTTAATATATATAAGTAGGCGATGCATCAAACAGTAATACATTATATAGTGCTGTACATATTCAGCCCTCAGCTGTTTCACCCGGTTATTGTTTCTCTCAAAAGGCATTAGGTATATTTGCTTCATTGATACCTGCAGCCTCTTCGTAAGGAGGGCTACTGTTGGTGGGCTGATGGATGCCACACTGGCAAAGGTGTCAATGTTCTCCTCAATTGCCTTCTATATTTCTGACAGCCGTATATTATTCTGTGCCCTCACCATTTCCACCACAACTCATGCTGGTCACAACTGTGGGGTTTTCTGTCAATTTTTAGCATAGAAAAGAATATACTGTCACTAGATCATATGTAAGAACACTGTAACATGTTGAATGAATTTGAAGATGAATTTACATGCATTACAATTTACATCACTGTAAATCTAAAGGTAAAGCATAGTATATATCCTCCAGACTTACCGGGTTACTTTGCAGAAAGTGCAAATAATTCAATTGACATGATCTTTTTAGATTTTGCTCAACTAATCTGGCAGCCTCTGCTATAGTAAGGCCTTGGTTGACCACATGATCAACGCTGATAGCCCGGATTTTATTAGAGACTACAGTTCTGCCTTCCTCTCTCTGACGACCACCGATTCGACAGGGCCTTTGACCACCTGTGTGACCTCTCTGTTGGGGCCTATGCCCACCTCTCTGATGGGTCCCTTGTCCACCAGCTCTTCCTCTTCCATACTGAAAGAAATTGCAAGTGTTTACACACTGCCTTTAAATGGGTGACCAGTTGTGGTTACAAGATGAAATCAATTATGAGTATTCATGTGTTAGATAAGGTTAAACGCAATTTAGATGTTCATACAAGCACACATTTTATATAGCTGACAAACCAATTTAAAATCTATAGGTTTACCAACAGATCAGTTGGATTAAGTGATGGTCAAATGTATTTATGCAAATCAGAAGAGAAGCATATCAAAAGTATTGTGAGCATTGCATTGTGAAAGACAATAACTTCATATTAAAGGTATTTCTTTGATGACGCACTGATTGGGTGTGGTGAAAAAGTTGTGTAATTTTGTGTGTTGTACTTTGTCAATTGAACATGTGATTCCCTGTTTGAAATTACAGCCTTTTTGATGATCTGCTTTGAGTCTTGTACTAAGAGTTGTGAAAGTTTACCACATACTTGCAATAATAGAATCAAAGCGATCAAAAAAAGTGTATTAGATTCACTGATGGTTAAAATGACTAAACTGAAATGATATCATTAGGAGCTTTACTGCCAAGTAGTGTTTTACACATACGAGGAATCTGCTGTGGTGATAAGGTGCTACACGTAGACAAACATACAGTCAACATAAATAAATGTAGAAATATATAAATATGGAATGGAAGAACAATGTTGGGTCTGTGCCGTGCAGAAGTAAGGCAACGGAAGAGTATATTGTGTACATATAAATATATAAACTGACAACATAAAAATATATAACAACAAAGATCAACAATCAACAATAAATATGTAGAGATGTTGTGTTTTGGTGATTAAACCAAATGTTCTCATGACATTCATTTTTTGAATCAATAGTTGATTAGTTTGGAGAAATTGGCTACTAAGAGTTGTGAAATCTTACCACACACTTGCGATAATAGTACCAAAGTGATGAAAAAAAACTGTATTTGTCACGATTTGAGTGAAATATAAACGTTTAGTGTTACACCTTTTCAGTAGTCAGCACATGTTCACAGGAATTTCATCAGCGGTTTGGGATTTTTTGTGTGTGTGTGTTGCAGGCACAAATCCCTCATCGGAGGAAACCACATACTCTGAAGTCAGGATCCTGAAGACTCAGCCATCCAAAGAGCTTCCTGGTGGGTAATGAACAGTATTACAGTTTCTCTCTGCCGCTTTGGTACATTTCTCAGATCATAAGTGAAATTCTCTAAACTACTTGTTCAACCCGTCACATTGTCTAGTCACTTGTGTACATCATAAGAGCAATTTCTCATTCTTTTGAACAAACTGCAAATGCTTTTGGCACAATCATGCAAACACACAACTGTCTGCTGTATCAATTGTTTATGTCTTGTTGATCACAATTTATCATATTGGTTCTTTATACTGGTTAAATAGTCTAAGCCCCCCAAAACAAGTTCATTGCATGAGCCAGTGAACTGATGAAGATATGTGCTGTGATGTGGAAGAGATTCTATGGCAAATTGTTTTAACATTTATTACTTAAAACTCACTATTTAGAAGCTACTAGTTTTTATAACTTACTTGTAACTATTTTATTAGTTACTAGTAACTTATTGCACATATTTGCCAATGACATCTATGGGGCTCAGCAGTTCAGATATCACTTATTTACTAGTTATTAGTAACTAATTGAATAGTTATCAGTAACCATTTCCATTTTACGAGTCACTATTATGTTTATTTTTTAGTTAGTTTAGTTTTTCTAGAAATTACTTTTATGATGTACACTGATATGTGCTGTGTCAAGGCTACAAGGAAAATAGCACTCATGACTCTTCCCAGGACAGGCCGGGGCCCAGTGTGCTGGTAGTCTTCTCCATCCCTGTCTTGATAGGTAACAGAAAAAGCATGGTGAATGTGTTAAGAAACAAGAAGCACTCAACATATCCTGCAAATTTAGTATTAATTCCTCGTCAGCCGCAGCCTGTCGAAAAAAGTGGGCCAGATAATATTTTTAACACACTAAAAGCTTTGTTAAACGTTAGGTCTTTGGCAGGAAAAACATTTTAATCAATGATTTTATAATAACTCACAATCTTAATTTCATGTTTTTAACTGAAACTTGGTTGGACCAAGATAACAGTGCAGCTGTCCTTATCGAGTCTACCCCTCCCAACTTCAGTTTCATGAGTGAATTTAGAGTGCATAAGAGAGGAGGTGGAGTTGCCATTTTGTTTAATGACTCCCTCCAATGCAAAAAGATATCTTATGGGAATGTTGCTTCTTTTGAATATGTGGCTCTTCAGCTGAATTCCTCTTCTCAAGCAATTTTTCTAAATATCTACAGGCCCCCTAAATACTGTGCAAACGTTTTTGATGACTTTGGTGAACTGCTGTCTATAATCTGTATTGACTTTGACTGTGTGGTTATTGTTGGTGATTTTAACATCCATGTCGACAACCCCCAGGACAGAGGGACTAAAGAACTTTTGTGTTCTTGATAATAATGGACTGACGCAACATGTGTCGAGGCCCACACACAATAAGGGGCACACTTTGGACTTGGTCATCTCCAAGGGTCTGGACATTTCCAAGGTTGTGGTGACTGATGTTGCTCTCTCTGATCATTCCTGTGTTTTCTTTGAGAGTGCTATCTGCGTGCACACAAATGTTAAAACAGAGGTGATCACAAAACGGCATATCACTGAAAACACTAGTGAAAAATTTATTGAGGCTTTCTCCTCAACACCCGCCCTTTCACGGGTCTCAGTCAATGAGTTTGTAGATAATTTCAGTTCTAAAATTACTAATGTTATTGATGCCATTGCACCAGCCAAGGTGAAGGTGGTCTCTAGTAAGAGAAGATCTCCATGGAGAAATGCCACGCTGGTTAAAACTCAAAAAAGAGAGTGTCGAAAAGCTGAACTCAGGTGGCGGAACACAAATCTCCAGGTTCATTATGACATCTATAAAGAGAGACTTCGCATTTACAATTTAGAGCTGAGAAATGCAAGGCGGTCCTTCTTCTCTGACATCATCACCAATATTCACTAATAATGCACGTGCCCTGTTTGCTACTGTCGACAGGCTAACTAACCCTCCTGTGTCTGTAGCCTCTGAACTTCTATCCATCAGGGCCTGCAATGAATTTGCTTCCTTCTTCACAGACAAAATTCAAACAATTAGACAAGCAATCAGTGCCTCCATGTCAGTAACAGGATATGTCTTGTCCCTGTGTCCACTTCAAAACAATTCATATAGCATGAGACAATTTGATTCTATTAACCATAAAAACCTGGAGGACATAATACAACATCTGAAATGCTCCTCATGCTGCCATGATATTCTGCCAACAGGTTATTTCAAAAATGTGTCTAAATGCATGGCCTCAGATTTACTACAAATTGTCAACATGTCTCTCCTCTCAGGTTTTTTCCCACAGGCCCTGAAAACTGCAGTCATTAAGCCACTCTTAAAAAAGAGCAATCTAAACAGTTCACTAATGAGCAATTATAGGCCCATATCAAATCTCCCATTTTTAAGTAAAATCATTGAAAAGGCTGTTTTTCAACAGCTTAGTGCTTCTTGGCACTAAATAACTGTTTTGATTTCTTCCAGTCAGGTTTTCGACCACACCACAGCACTGAGACAGCTCTTGTTAAGGTCTTCAATGACATCCATTTAAACACTGACAGTGGCAGAATTTCAGTCTTAGTATTATTGACTCTCAGTGCTGCATATTACCAGACAGACTTGAAAACTGGGTTGGACTTTCTGGCACAGTACTAAACTGGTTTGAATCCTACTTAAAGGACAGGGACTACTTTGTGTCTATAGGTAATCTCACATCTGAGCTGACAAAAATGACATGTGGAGTTCCCCAAGGCTCCATTCTGGGACCTCTTTTGTTTAACATTTACATGCCTCCACTGGCTCAGATTATGAAAAACAACAAAATATGTTACCATCATTATGCAGATGACACACAGATTTACATAACCATATCATCAGGGGACTATGATCCCATACAGGCGCTGAATAACTGTATTGAGCAGTTCAACGATTGGATGTGCCAGAATTTTCTTCAATTAAACAAGGATAAAACTGAAATTATTGTTTTTGGAGCCAGGGAGGAACGATTGAAAGTCAGTGCTCGACATCAATCTGTAATGTTAAGAACCACAAATCAAGCCAGAAATCTTTGTGTAGTCGTGGACTCAGACCTGAATTTGAGAAGCCATATTAACACAATTACAAAGTCAGCCTACTATCACCTGAAGAATATATAAAGGATTAAAGGATTATGTCTCAGCAGGACCTGGAAAAGCTTATCCATGCATTTATCTTCAGTCGACTTGACTACTGTAACAGCGTCCTTACAGGGCTCCCTAAGAAATCCATCAGACAGCTGCAGCTGATTCAAAACGCTGCTGCCCGAGTCCTCACTAAGACCAAAAAGATCACATCACTCCAGTTCTGAGGTCTTTACATTGGCTTCCTGTATGTCAAAGAACTGATTTCAAAATCCTGCTGTTAGTTTATAAAGCACTAAATGGTTTAGGGCTAAAATACATTTCTGATCTTCTGCTTCGTTACGAACCATCCAGACCTCTCAGGTCGTCTGGGGCAGGTCTGCTTTCTGTCCCCAGAGTCAAAACTAAACAAGGAGAAGCAGCGTTCAGTTATTATGCTCCGTATATTTGGAACAAACTCCCAGATAACTGCAGGTCTGCTGAAACAGTCAGTTCGTTTAAATTAAGACTGAAGACTTTTCTTTTTACCATTGCTTTTAATTAAATATTTAAGATTTTTCTTTTTACTGATAACTTACACTGCACTGTAACTTTTACTGTCCTGTTTTCTTTTTCTTTGTTTTTAGCTTTTTATTATTTTCCATTTAACTCTTTTAACCCTGATTGTAACACTGTAACTTTTATTATATTTTATGTTGCTTTTAAACTTTTACATATTTCCCTGTTGCTTTTATGTTTTATGTAAAGCACTTTGAATTAACTTGTTGTTAAATTGTGCTATACAAATAAACTTGCCTTGCCTTGCCTTACTAATAACCATTCCAAATGTTACTATCAACAAGCAGATTTACTAGTCATAAATGAATGAATTGTACCCCCCAAAATGTACTAGTAGGAATGAAAATGTTACCATTAGCCTGTCTTTTGGAATAGTTACTAATAACTAATGAATAGGTACCAGTATCTAAATAACAGATACTAATAAAATTCCAATAGTTACTAGTAGGTAATGAATATGTGACATGAACTGCAGAGCCCCAAACATTACAATGGCAAACATTTGCAATTAGTTACTAGTAACTAAAAATTAAGTACTACTACAAAATCAATTGTTAATAGTAAAATGGGAACTGTTACAGTATTACTGTTACACTGTTATGTTGACAACATGGCAAAAAATTTAGACTATCTTGTTTGTAAACAACGACACAAGGACTTGTCATTCTGACACACTGACATAAATATTTACTATTACAGTTTCTCTCACTCACTTTGGTACATTTCTCCAATCATCCCTAGCATTTGCAAAACAGTGAGTACATTTCTCGAAACATATCGAACAAAAAGCACAACACAGTGGATTACCTGCAAAAGCCTGTAACTTGCTCAAAATGCTTAGTCTATCTCTCAAAAGCAAATCTTTATGTCATTGAACATGTCAGTGCCATCAGAAAGACATGTCCTTGTGTCATTGTTTACGTTGTCAATATAACAGTGTTCTCATGACATTTCATGAGAAATGTATATTTTGAATCAATAGTTGATTAGTTTGGAGAAATTGGCTGTGTTACAAGTGTGATGAGTTTGAAGTTTTGTACTAAGAGTTGTGAAATCTTACCACACACTTGCGATAATAGTACCAAAGTGATGAAAAAAAACTGTATTTGTCACGATTTGAGTGAAATATAAACGTTTAGTGTTACACCTTTTCAGTAGTCAGCACATGTTCACAGGAATTTCATCAGAGGTTTGGGATTTTTTTTTTGTGTGTGTGTTGCAGGCACAAATGCCTCATCGGAGGAAACCACACACTCTGAAGTCAGGATCCTGAAGACTCAGCCATCCAAAGAGCTTCCTGGTGGGTAATGAACAGTATTATAGTTTCTCTCTGCCGCTTTGGTACATTTCTGAGATCATAAGTGAAATTCTCTAAACTACTTGTTCAACCCGTCACATTGTCTAGTCACTTGTGTACATCATAAAAGCAATTTCTCATTCTTTTGAACAAACTGCAAATGCTTTTGGCACAATCATGCAAACACACAACTGTCTGCTGTATCAATTGTTTATGTCTTGTTGATCACAATTTATCATATTGGTTCTTTATACTGGTTAAATAGTCTAAGCCCCCCAAAACAAGTTCATTGCATGAGCCAGTGAACTGATGAAGATATGTGCTGTGATGTGGAAGAGATTCTATGGCAAACTGTTTTAACATTTATTACTTAAAACTCACTATTTAGAAGCTACTAGTTTTTATAACTTACTTGTAACTATTCTATTAGTAGCTAGTAACTAATTGCACATATTTGCCAATGACATCTATGGGGCTCAGCAGTTCAGATATCACTTATTTACTAGTTATTAGTAACTAATTGAATAGTTATCAGTAACCATTTCCATTTTACGAGTCACTATTATGTTTATTTTTTAGTTAGTTTAGTTTTTCTAGAAATTGCTTTTATGATGTACACTGATATGTGCTGTGTCCAGGCTACAAGGAAAATAGCACTCATGACTCTTCCCAGGACAGGCCGGGGCCCAGTGTGCTGGTAGTCTTCTCCATCCCTGTCTTGATAGGTAACAGAAAAAGCATGGTGAATGTGTTAAGAAACAGGAAGCACTCAACATATCCTGCAAATGTTGTATTAATTCCTCGTCAGCCGCAGCCTGTTGAAAAAAGTGGGCCAGATAATATTTTTAACACACTAAAAGCTTTGTTAAACGTTAGGTCTTTGGCAGGAAAAACATTTTAATCAATGATTTTATAATAACTCACAATCTTAATTTCATGTTTTTAACTGAAACTTGGTTGGACCAAGATAACAGTGCAGCTGTCCTTATCGAGTCTACCCCTCCCAACTTCAGTTTCATGAGTGAATTTAGAGTGCATAAGAGAGGAGGTGGAGTTGCCATTTTGTTTAATGACTCCCTCCAATGCAAAAAATAGCCTGATGGGAATGTTGCTTCTTTTGAATATGTGGCTCTTCAGCTGAATTCCTCTTCTTGAGCTATCTTTCTAAATATCTACAGGCCCCCTAAATACTGTGCAAATGTTTTTGATGACTTTGGTGAACTGCTGTCTATAATCTGTATTGACTTTGACTGAGTGGTTATTGTTGGTGATTTTAACATCCATGTTGACAACCCCCAGGACAGAGGGTCTAAAGAACTGTTTTGTGTTCTTGATAATTATGGACTGATTCAACATGTGACGAGGCCCACGCACAATAATCTAGACAGTTCACTAATGAGCAATTATAGGCCCATATCAAATCTCCCATTTTTAAGTAAAATCATTGAAAAGGCTGTTTTTCAACAGCTTAGTGCTTTCTTGTCACTAAATAACTGTTTTGATGTCTTCCAATCAGGTTTTCGACCACACCACAGCACTGAGACAGCTCTTGTTAAGGTCTTCAATGACATCTATATAAACACTGACAGTGGCAGAATTTCAGTCTTAGTATTATTGACTCTCAGTGCTGCATTCGACACGGTCGACCACAACATATTACTAGACAGACTTGAAAACTGGGTTGGACTTTCTGGCACAGTACTAAACTGGTTTGAATCCTACTTAAAGGACAGGGACTACTTTGTGTCTATAGGTAATCTCACATCTGAGCTGACAAAAATGACATGTGGAGTTCCCCAAGGCTCCATTCTGGGACCTCTTTTGTTTAACATTTACATGCTTCCACTGGCTCTGATTATGAAAAACAACAAAATATGTTACCATCATTATGCAGATGACACACAGACTTACATAACCATATCATCAGGGGACTATGATCCCATACAGGCGCTGAGTAAAACTGTATTGAGCAGGTCAACGATTGGATGTGCCAGAATTTTCTTCAATTAAACAAGGATAAAACTGAAGTTATTGTTTTTGGAGCCAGGGACTTCAATCTGTAATGTTAAGAACCCCAAATCAAGCCAGAAATCTTGGTGCAGTCATGGACTCAAACCTGAATTTGTGAAGCCATATTAACACAATTACAAAGTCAGCCTACCATCACCTGAAGAATATATAAAGGATTAAAGGACTTAAAGGACTCAGCAGGACCTGGAAAAGCTTATCCATGCATTTATCTTCAGTCGACTTGACTACTGTAACAGCGTCCTTACAGGGCTCCCTAAGAAATCCATCAGACAGCTGCAGCTGATTCAAAACGCTGCTGCTCGAGTTCTCACTAAGACCAAAAAGGTGGATCACATCACTCCAGTTCTGAGGTCTTTACATTGGCTTCCTGTATGTCAAAGAATTGATTTCAAAATCCTGCTGTTAGTTTATAAAGCACTAAATGGTTTAGGGCTAAAATACATTTCTGATCTTCTGCTTCGTTACGAACCATCCAGACCTCTCAGGACGTCTGGGGCAGGTCTGCTTTCTGTCCCCAGAGTCAAAACTAAACAAGGAGAAGCAGCGTTCAGTTATTATGCTCTGTATATTTGGAACAAACTCCCAGATAACTGCAGGTCTGCTGAAACAGTCAGTTCTTTTAAATTAAGGCTGAAGACTTTTCTTTTTACCATTGCTTTTAATTAAATATTTAAGATTTTTCTTTTTACTGATAACTTACACTGCACTGTAACTTTTACTGTCCTGTTTTCTTTTTCTTTGTTTTTAGCTTCCATTTAACTCTTTTAACCCTGATTGTAACACTGTAACTTTTATTATATTTTATGTTGCTTTTAAACTTTTACATATTTCCCTGTTGCTTTTATGTTTTATGTAAAGCACTTTGAATTAATTAATTTGAATTAATTAAATTGTGCTATACAAATAAACTTGCCTTGCCTTGCGTTGCGTTGCCTTACTAATAACCATTCCAAATGTTACTATCAACAAGCAGTGAATTGTACCCCCCAAAATGTAGTAGTAGGAATGAAAATGTTACCATTAGCTTTTGGAATAGTTACTAATAACTAATGAATAGGTACTAGTATCAATAGTTACAAGTAGGTAATGAATATGTGACATGAACTGCAGAGCCCCAAACATTACAATGGCAAACATTTGCAATTAGTTACTAGTAACTAAAAATTAAGTACTACTACAAAATCAATTGTTAATAGTAAAATGGGAACTGTTACAGTATTATTGTTACACTGTTATGTTGACAACATGGCAAAAAATTTAGACTATCTTGTTTGTAAACAATGACACAAGGACTTGTCATTCTGACACACTGACATAAATATTTACTATTACAGTTTCTCTCATTCACTTTGGTACATTTCTCCAATCATCCCTAACATTTGCAAAACAGTGAGAGTACATTTCTCAAAACATATCGAACAAACCAGCACAACACAGTGGATTACCTGCAAAAGCCTGTAACTTGCTCAAAATGCTTAGTCTATCTCTCAAAAGCAAATCTTTATGTCATTGAACATGTCAGTGCCATCAGAAAGTCATTGTTTACGTTGTCAATATAACAGTGTAATCTCTAAGTGTTATCTGATGTGAACTAAACTATGGCTAACCAATTTTGATGACAGTGATTGAAAATGCACAAGGCTGCACTTTTTCAATGTGGCATATCAATTTCAACAGTATGAAGTTATACATTGCAAGAGGTTGGACAGGATTCACAGTTAGGTTTTACTGTTCAACCATTTTGCATGTAGTGACTTATACAATGAACTTGTGCCTAGATGTTTTGGGAGGTAAGACTATTTAACAGAGACTGTTATAATTAATTGTGATCAGCATGGCATAAGCAATTGATAAAGGAAACAGCAGACAATTGTACATGGCCTTTATTGTACAATTGTACATCATTTGCTTCAATGTGTCAAAGCATTTGCAATATGATCAAAACAATGCACAAGTGACGAGACGATGTGGAGGTTGAACAAGTAGTTTTGAGAATTTCGTTTCTGGTCTGAGAAATGTACTAAAGCAAGTGAGAAAAAAACTGTAAGAGATAAACTAAGGATTTTGAACAAGTTAAAGGCTTTTGCAGGTAATCCACTGTGTGGTGCTGTTTGCTGATCTGTTTAGAGAAATCCTCTTACTGTTTTACAGTTGTTAAGCATGATTCAAGAAATGTACCAAAGTGACTGAGAAAAACTGAATATTAACAGGAAGGTGAACTGTGACCTCCAGTCAGTGGTCATCGTGAAGCAAACAGCCACCAGTCTGAGCATTTTTTTTCCAGAAGAAAAACATGTATTCTCCAGTCATACAGAGCTTTTCTCAGTCATCTTCAATGGTCTCACTATAAATATATAGTAATATTTAGTTCAAGGAAATAGGAGACTAAATATTTTGACTTTTTAAAACATATACTGTGATTTTAAGGTATATTCACTGCAATAAATTAACACATTTTACATGCATTAAAGGGAAAATTGGCATTTTGTGTGTTAAAAATACATCTGTATAAATCAATTGCAAACTGTACACATGTGAACAAACATTAATATAACAGCATCAGAATCTGATGGTTCTTTAAGTGAACTAAACTCAATGCAGAGCAAAGATTTCTGTGAAGACAACTTACTGCAGATATAATGTAGCTTGAAGGGCATCATGCATGTAAACTTTTTACATGTTGTGTCCTTCATTCTCATAATATATCCCACTTTTCCCAACTGAAAGAAAGAATGAAAGAGAAACCATGCACCACTCGATGGCTAAAAGGACGTGTTGAAAAAGTCTGGTAATTTACTGTAAAATGGGGTGAGGAGAAGCCATGGTCCAGAAAAAGGAACTATACTTACTAAGTGTTAAGATCCTTGTTTCCTGTTCCTGTCATATAGTGGCTGCTCCTGGGGCATTTAGGGCACCTTGGCAGTGCACAGTACGTGAACAGCATCTCTCCAGCTACCACACTTTGTACTGGTGTGTGCTGGATATGAACTGACCACCCTCATGCAAAGTAAGAAACAGCTCAGAGCAGCAAGTGAGGGAACCCACAACATGCAGAAAATGTTCAGTGTGTGTGAATGTGTGAAATGTTTTTCTGTAATAGTGATTCCAAAAGTTCCTTAAACAACAAAACATTTGGGTTACTACAGCTCTAAAAGCCATATTGAATATTTCAGTCTTACAAGTTCAAATATCTCTTTTCCATTTAAAACTATCAACTTGTATCTCAGGAGACATCTTTAAAACTATCTATCATCTATCAACTATCAACAAACACCTGGAGAAGTACTTCAGTTAATCGCCAATGTCTTTGAGGAAAGTTGAACTTTTTAGATTAAAAACTTATTTATATATGTAGAATTTTATTGAATGATCGCTTGGCTTTTGGGAAAAAAACACCACAAAATCAAATCTAAATTGTGAAGGACCCAGATTTAATTTTGTTATATGTGATATTTAGATAGTTTCGATTGCAGTGGTGGAATGTAATTAAGTACATTTACTCAACATTTTATTTTGATGTCACTTTTACCTCAACATTTCAGAGAGAAATATTGTACTTGTTACTTAATAAATTTTTGTCAGCATTAGATTCTAATTACTTTAAAATTTTAGGTTTTTGCACATAAAATAATATCTTAGTAAAACATACTTTTACTTTTAATATATTTTCATGATTACTTGCATACTTTTACTTAAGAAACATTTTTAATACAAGGCCTTCACTTGTAACAGTATTTGTACAGTACTTTTACTCAAGTTAAAGATCTGAATATTTCCTCCACCACTGCACCTGTGTAATCTAATGCAGTGTAATGTTTCTGTTGCTGCTGAATTATACTGTACAGGCGTTCATGTCCACCTTCTACACTATTCTGTAGTCTTCCTCACATTGACTGTGTCATCTTTCTTTTTCTGTTTGCAGTTTTTGTCCTGCACATGATGAAGTTAACTAGTTAACTTAGGTTCAGGATTAGGGCTTCAACTACTCCTCCAATCCCATGTCAAGCCTACTTACACCTGGTCAACCAATCCTGTTCTGTGTCTTAGTTTTTTCAACCCACCTCCTTTTCCCTCTCCCTTACCCTTTATCTCTTCATCTCCCCATTCCTATTCACATCCATTCACCCCCTCTTCCCTTCTTTTATCCCTTCTTCTTCTCAGTCCTGTGTATACCGCCACCATCTCGCTTCTTCTAGGTATATATCAACAATATATCCGTCCCAGACGGACCAGAACGGCCTTAACAGACGACTTTCTCCCTCACGTTAATCCCCTTCCTCACATCCATTCATCCATCCTCAACATTCATTACTTAACTAACCTGCTTAATTGAGTGCATATAAACACACTGTCTGTGTCCTCTGCTGTTCAGCAGGGTCTCAGCAACAAGGAGGGTCAAAGGTCAAGTTAGAGAGAGTGGCCTTGGTAGTTCTCAGTGCTCTCCTGGCTGCTGCTGTCATCGCTCTTGGTGTTACCTGTGAGTTTTTAAAATAATTAATTCAGAGTGGCTCATAAAATCTAAAAGATGTCAGATTTTTTTTGCATTGACAGAAAAGGACAGCTTGAAATGTAGTGAATCTCAACAGAACTGTTGATGTAAAATCATAACATTTTACTTTTTTTTTTCCTATTAACATACACGTTTATTCTAAGTTAATCTCAGAATGTAAAATAAACAGATGTTTATTGAATATTTTTCATCAGACACTGAATAGTTTCCTAAACGAGTGTTTGACCTTGACTATACTTTATTTTATCAGCTTATAAAAACAGTCAAACCATGGAACATCTCCAAAAGCTGACAGCTGAGCATGAAGCTTTGAAAAACAATCTCACAGGTAAGCTTGTCTGTTTTGACACTAAAAGGGTTTGTTGGTAAGTTTCTACAAGGTCACTTTAAAATGTGGTATATTTTTGGGATGCTGGTTGGCTCACCGCTAGAGCGTGTGCTCCATCTACAAAGGCATGTTGTTGCAGCTGTGCGGGTTTGAGTGCGACCCATGGCACCAAATTTCCTCTCTTAACTGTCTTGTCATAAAAATAAAGGCAAAAAATTGGTACATTGTCAATTAAATTAAAAGATTGTTTTCAGTTTGGTTCTGACAGGTGACCCCAGTTATTAGTCTGTTAATGAAAAGAATGATTGTTAGGACTAATGAAAGTGAAATCTTTTTACCCTCTTTCATTACAGAGAGGTGCTCTGAAGTAAAACCATGCGACACAGTGCAGCAAACGAGCCCACAGCCTCCTGCAATAAGTATGTGATGGAGTTTTCCTTTCTTACATGCTTCCACTGACGATTATTAAAGAGACAGTGATGGATTAACAGATACAATGACTTGGCAGCATACTGTACCTGTGAAGCAGAAAACTGTTGCATCTCTCTGATTGTCTCAGCTGCGCTCAGATTCAAAGCTCCCGCTGCTTATTAATCACACAAATATAAACAGTGGTTCGTTGCACCTGACTGAAGTCTTTGCTGTGATCTCTTCAAAGATGAGTCATGTCCAATATGTGAGGAAGGCTGGGAGCAACATGGAGGAAAGTGCTATTATTTCTCCACCAATAGATCATCCTGGAATAACAGCAGAGATGAATGTCGACAACAAGGAGGAGACCTGGTTAAGATAGACAGCAGAGAGGAGCAGGTATACACACTGCTGCAGGTTCATGTAGCTCACTGGCTTTGTTTATCACATCCTTATGTTTCTGCATTAGTTAACATGATCTCTCAGCTCAGAAAAGTGATGTTACATTTTGTCTTTTCATCAACTTTCCTGTCCAGACATTCCTGGAGCTGAAACTGAGAGACAAAATGAACGAACGTGAGGACAAGTTCTGGATCGGACTGACAGACTCAAAGGAAGAGGGCACATGGTTGTGGGCAGATGGCTCTCCACTGAACACAAGGTTTCTCTGTCGTAAACAGATTTAGTCAATTTCCAATAGCGAAGTTTCCAGTTTTATTGAACCAGTTCTTTCTGTTCTCACTATCTCAGTTTGTCCTTTTGGAGCAGCATTGAGCCAGACAACTGGACATATGAAGATCCTGATGGAGAAGACTGTGCGAGGATGGGGGAGAAATCAGGAGCTCATGACCTGAAGTGTTGGTTTGATAAATCCTGCAAAAAGCCTCACAGAAGTATTTGTGAGAAAACAGCAAAAAATGGAAACTGGCGTCTGAAATGTTCTGTTTAAGTTAAGTTTAAGTCTGACTCAGCCTGTTAAACAATCTCAGTGCAGGATACAGAATGTGGAGAAATGTTATTTTTATACAGCTAATGTGTAAAAAATGAAAATGTATGAATGTGCTCACCAATTAAGGAAAAGATCCAGAAAGAAGATTCATGTACCAGATGGTGGAGGAAAAATTCAGTTATTAGGCAGTAATACCACACTGTAAAAATACTGTCACAAGTAAAAGTCCTGTATCAAAAATATTACTTGGAACTTATAATTACTGAAAATATGTAAATTTAATCAGTAAAATGTAGTAAAAGTAGGAAAATGTCCCCTCTATCACTGTTGTAGGATTGTACAACTAATGATTATTTTCATTATGGAGTAATCTGCTGTTTATTTTCTCAATTGATTAATGGATTGTCTGGTTTGTAAAAAAAAATATGGTAACAGTGAGGAATGCCGTCACAATTAACCAGAGCCCAAAGTGACAAACTTCACAATGCCAATTAATTTTCTTTCTATCAACAAATCAATTAATTAACTTTTCCACTAGTTTAGTTTCTAACAAAACATCATATTTTATAATCGCTTCTGAAGTTGTGCAAAAATCTTACTTTGTAAAGTGGCTAACTAAAGCTGTCAGATAAATGCAGTGAAATAAAAAGACTCAATAAAGTTCAAGTCAAGTACTAGTATTTGTAACACTGTACCACTGCAGACAACAGACAGTAAGAAGAAACAATAATTGTACAGATTTAACCATCTTTTTACTTATCTTCTTAATTTGTGCTACAACCACATGGGTTACTGTTAAAAATGTATTAAAGTATTTCAGCCATCTTTTGTCTTTTTGTCTTCTTCATTTGTTTGTAAGTTTAAACTGTAATGTACAGTTAATAAATACAGTTAATTTATAAATACAATATGAACTATGTGATTTATTAAATGTATTAAAACTACACAACTTCAGTTTATTAATATTATGCTAGTGTTTTAGACTTGTTGTGCTAAACTATGAGTGTTTGGAGTCAGCATACAGACAGGAAGTGCAGCAATAGATTTATTCTACATTAAGAGGTTTCACTTGTTCCTATAGATGCTGTGAATCTGTTGCAACTAATGAAATTACAAATGCTGAGTTTATCTAAAGGATGAAAACACACAAATGATTTTACTCAAAAGCCACATACAGGTTTTGGAAAATGCCCTTTTAAACTATAATAATTTGTCCAGTCCAACTAAAGTGATGTTTTATTTTCTTGTATTTCAAAAGGTTTTCATCAACATGAATCAAAATAAATGATAGAATTAAATTAAAAACGAGTTATACTGACACAAACGCCACCTGAGACCCTCTGTTGTCGAAGTGTAACACTCTGGTTGAGTGGGGCCACTTTTGTTCCTACATGTGAGTAAACAAATCAAAAATATTTGGATTATTTTTTGTTCAATTCAAACCTTTCATAATTTATAGTATTAAGTGGTAGAATTTACAGTGTTACTGAATAATATGAATCAGAAGTTGGATGAAATTAAACTATAAAAGTCATTTAAAAACTGGAATACTGTTTGACTAAACTTAAAAGATCATAAAATCAGTTTAAACTTGACCATTTAATCTAATGGTCTTAATAATATATCTGGACATTTGGTTCTTTCTCTATTTGTTTTTGTTCTCTCACAGCTCCTGTTATTGTCTTTCATCCATAGATTTTCTTACTGCTACTCTACTTTCCTTAATATTTAATTTTAATTTCACTTGTTGTCTAAATTTGCAGATATTTATATATTTAAAAAAAAATTAATTGGCAAATCCTTATTGTTGCGAGTGGTTTCTATGTTTAAAATATTTGCCCACACAACCCAAGATCTCCTGTTCCACTTCAGCGCTGTCAGATTGACTAGGATGGTGCTTTAAATACATTTTCCTAAAGTCTGCTTAGACCTTAAACAACTTTGTAGACAAAGACAATTTGTTATAAATCATCTACTATATGTTGTTAAAATTGTAAGCTGATGAATCAACTTTCTTCTGTGTTTCACTAACATTAGTGAAGTTTGAGTCACATATCATAATTACATGGTTGAGAATGAACAAATTAACAACAAACATGTGTTTTATTGTATTTTGAATGTTTCCATGATGGGAAGGGGCATTATAATTTCAAGGAAATGTTATACACGTTTCATCCTTTTTATATACAGTCTATGGTTTCATTTTTTTTTCACCCAGAAATGGATGGATGTTTTATCTGTGGAGGACATTGAAGATTTCTGGATAATTGGAATTTTGTTAGTGGGCTTTCTGATTATCGGGCTTGGAATCTCCCTAGTATATCGTAAAATTGCAAAATGCAAATTTACCCAAAAGCTGTCTGGGGAACTTAAAGAGTGCTTAAATGGGGTGAACGAAAAGCTGAAGGTTTTACATCAAAGGGCTGAACTGTTTCGTAACATCTCAGACCGGTCTGTGGAAGCGCAGAGGAGGATTGACACCATCGGGGTGCAGTCTGGTGAGCTGCTGAGAGTAACCACTGGCCTGACAATGAAATTAGAAGAAATGTCGAAATCACTACATGAACTGGATGCACGCATGACGCTGAGGATGAGTGCGATTGAAGGACACTGATCCGGATAAATGTTACCGAATCAACCTAAATTGGATTAAAAATTATTGTCTTAGTGCCCCTTCCCTTCCCCTCCCCTCCTCCACCCGAGCAGGAAAACGACTTGCAGCTGGCCTTCCTATCTTCTCCTGCGCACTGGTTTATCTCTCCTCTAGTACTATGTTGCTGTCTGCATTAATTCTTTTCTGGAAAGCGAGTGGTGGCACTGAATATAGCTGCAGCCCGGAGGCTTGCTCCAACAGAAATAAATTTCACTGTGTTCTTGTGCATGTGTGACAATAAAGCTATCTATCTATCTACAGTATGTTGGAAAGAAGGAACTATAAGTGTGGTTCCCTTGTGCTCATTTACAGTCTTGCCTGTGTTTTATATTTTATACCAATGCCGTGCTTCATTGCCTTCTTATATATTTTCTTGTTAAGAACATGTAACAGAAATATTATCCTATGTTACCTAATTAATTTTCCCAGCTCCTGAGTCAAAGATGGAATTAACTATAAAGTAATCAGTTATTTTCAATCTCCTGTCATGAAACCAGTGTCCCCCAGAGGACAAGAGGTATAACATGCCATTGTTCTTCTGTTCATCCCCTTTTACCCAATATACAGTCGTGTCTGTGTTAAATTGTTTTAACTGATGCCATGTTTCAAATACCTCCTTATATATTTGCTTAAGTAAGAACGTGTAACAATCAATATTATCCTGAGTATGACTGTTTATGGTATTTAAGAAAAGAGTTGATATTGTGGAAAGGGATGTGATTAAAAGCATACGCAAATAGATTTTAAGACATTACCTTTAAAATTAAAGTATAAAAACACAGAAACTAACAAAGGAACAAAGCCCTCTTACACGGGGACAACAAACAAAACACAGACTCTCTCTTCCGCCCCTCTTCAGACCAGATACGTCCAGCTACCTAAATTCAAGGAGTCCGGCCCGTAGAAACTCCCTGACTTCTAAGTTTTCCTTTGTCTTATAGCAACTCAACTAACTCGAAGAGCCAAGCTAATGATTAATGCAAGAGTTTCCCGCAACTACATGAGTAAGTTACGCCACCCGTAACCAAGAGGACATCCACGCCAGAACTCAGCCAGAGGTAACCGACTGAACACTGCAAGAGTTCCAGCTACCAGCTGAGGAGGACGGATCCTGGGACCAACCCGCTAGCAAAAGACCTGGTCCTGGCGACCAGCCATACGGCACACCAAGCAGGCCACCGAGGGGCCGTGAACGCCAAGAACCAAGCTAGTTGTGGGCCGCACCATACCGGCTAAGAAAACCAACAAAGCATCAAGGCAAATTACCTCTTCATTCAAGTTGATGTCTTTTAGTCCTTTAGTCATTCAGTCACTCAGTCATTCAGTCACTCACTTATCACCAAATAACTTGCCTTCGTTCATTCCCTTATTTCCTTTAGCATCATATTTCTTCTTCATTTTCTGTTTTTGTCATTAATTTATTTGATTTTATTTACTCTCACTTTCTATTCACTTTATTTAGCTAGTAAAGTTTCTCTTTAATCACAGGAAGGTGTGTGTGTCATTATTGGATCCAGGACACTGGATGGACAATTCACCCTCAGATTTGAGAATGACTGATTGATTAAACTAACTGTTAATAGTTTAATAAAATAATTAATTAATAACTCACTGATCACTAGTACTACTTGTGTAATTATTTAGCCATAGCCATGGAGTCCTAAAGGCCTTGTGTTAAAGATTTATTAAACAAATAAAGCAGGCTTTCACTGGGAGCTCAGTGGTAAAAAAAACTTAATCCACAGGGAAAAGCCATAAATAAGGAACAAGGTACAAACCAAGGATTAATCCAAAAGCACAGGGACAGGACGGACCACTCAACACAGACAACAAAGACACCACAAACACTGAACACAACTGAGGACAATATATACACAGGCAAATGAACAGGGTCACGGGACACATCAGGTAATCAACAACAGGAACAAAGCTAGACAAGGACACGAGAACAGAACACCACAAAATAAAACAGGAAGTAAAGCATATGGAAACAGGGGAACAGGAATACAGTAACATGGAGACATAAGACTAAGGACTAAGACACAGACCAAAAGAAAACACAGAAGTACACAGACCAGGAAAAACACTAAACATGAACTGAGGCATAAGAATAACTAAGGCAAAGGACTAAAACACAGGACTAAGAAAACTTAAACATGCAAATGAACAGACTAAATAAAGCTACAAAACCCTAAACATGATCAAAATAAAGCTTACAGAACACAAAACCCAAACCTATGAAAACAGACTAAACAGGAAAAACATGAACACAAAACTACACTTATAACATACCATTTCTAGTCTATAATAGTTTGTCCATTTAAAAAACAGTTACATATATGACATAAAATCCACCTGAGACCCTCTGCTGTCCTTGTGTAACTCTGGTTGAGTGGAGGCACTTTTGTTGGTAGATGTGAGCAGGGGTAGACTGGCTGTCGTGAAGTTCAGAAAGACTCCAGAACGGCTGGTCCATTCCAGGCCGAACCGGCCAGTGGTCAAGAGTTTTTATTTTTCACTTTCAGATGTCTTGCTTTATGATCTGCGGAGAATTGCATGAATCTTGCGGAAGGCAACATTCTGAAAAACAGGTGGATGCAAATCTCAGCAGATAGCTTACAACATCCGTTCTGCCGATTTATGCATCCACCTCTTAAGGTCCTTTTCAGACACTTTGCTGTGCACATTGATCAAACACGGTTATCACCACATATTTCTGCTGAATCTCAAGGAATGCTACTTTTACTAAGTGTAATAAATTTTAACGACTCTAAACATTCATAAATAGTCTATATACTTCGAATCGTTTATCGAAGTTCCCACTGATAAAGCCCACAAAGAATATCATAGCGTTTAAAGGCAGTAGGCTATTAGAAAGTGCATGCAATTCTTGTGGGCATGCAAAATTCGGCACCTACTGGAATGTGTATCATGTATTTATTTTATTTAAATTTTTAATATATTTAATTTTTCTAACACACACACAAACACACATACGCTTTAATTACTTTACGCTTTAATTACTTATTTAATGAAATGTATGGGGTTAATTGTTCTTATGTAGTTTGTATGATGCTTTGGCAATATTGTTGTTATACAGTCATGCCAATAAATCTAATTAGACTGGGCCAAACTAATACTTTCAATACTGAGGGGGAATC